ATTCCATTCGATCAAACTCCGGGCGATCGATTTTCCGTCGACGAAATTTCTTTCAAGCAAATTTCCGGTATAAATCTGATGACGAACTGTTTCAATGTCATCTAATTAAATGGACGACACGTAGTAACGACATCTAAGGAATTAGACGAATTGTTGTAAAAGCGTATAATGAATTAGACGAATTGTTCTAATGGCGTCTAATGAAATAGATGAATTGTTCTAATGGTGTCTAATGAATTAGACCAATTGATCAAACAAGGTCTAATGCATTAAACTAATTGTTCAAACGGCGTCTAATGAATTAGACGAATTGTTCAAACGGCGTCTAATGAATTAGAAGAATTGTTCGAACGGCATCTAATATATTAGACGAATTGTTCTAACGGCGTCTAATGAATTAGATGAATTGTTCAAACAGCGTCTAATGAATTAGACGCATTGTTCAAACGGCGTCTAATGAATTAGATGAATTGTTCAAACGGCGTCTAATGAATTAGACGAATTGTTCTGACTGCATGTAATGAATTAGAAGAATTGTTCTAACGGCATCTAATATATTAGACGAATCGTTCTAAATTAGTCTAATGAATTAGACGAATTGTTCAAACGGCGTCTAACGAATTAGAGGAATTGTTCTAACAGCGTCTACTGAATTAGACGAATTGATCTATTGGCGTCTAAAGAAATAGACACATTTTTCAACAGTCGTCTAATGAATTAGACGAATTGTTCTAACGGCGTCTAATGAATTAGACGAATTGTTCTAACAGCATCTAATGAATTTGACGAATTGTTGTACGCTTCTAATGAATTAGACGAATTTATCAAACGGCGTCAAATGAATCAGTCGAATTGTTCAAATGGCATCTAATGAATTAGACGAATTGTTCTAACGGCGTCTAATGAATTTAACGAATTGTTGTACGCGTCTAATGAATTAGACGAATTGTTCAAACGGCGTCTAATGAATTAGAGGAATTGTTCTAAGGGCGTCTAATGAATTAGACGAATGTTCAAACAGCGTCTAGTGAATTAGACGAATTTATCTAACTGCGTCTCATGAATTACACGAATTGTTCTAACGGTTTCTAATGACTTAGACAAATTGTTCTGACTGCATCTAATGAATTAAAAAAATTGTTCTAACGGCATCTAATATATTAGACGAATCGTTCTAACGGCGTCTAATGAATTAGACGAATTTTTCAAACGGCGTCTAACGAATTAGACAAATTGCTCTAACGGCTTCAAAATAATAGACGAATTGGTCAAACAGCGTCTAATGAACTAGACGAATTTATCAAACAGCGTCTAATGAATTACACGAATTGTTCTAACGGCGTCTAATGAATTAGACGAATTTTTCAAACGGCGTCTAACGAATTAGACAAATTGCTCTAACGGCTTCAAAATGATAGACGAATTGTTCAAACGGCGTCTAATGAATTAGACAAATTTATCAAACGGTGTCTAATGAATTACACGAATTGTTCTAACGGTGTCTAATGAATTAGACGAATTGATCAAACGGTGTCTAATGAATTAGACAAATTTATCAAACGGTGTCTAATGAATTACACGAATTGTTCTAACGGTGTCTAATGAATTGGACAAATTTATCAAACGGTGTCTAATGAATTACACGAATTGTTCAAACGGCGTCTAATGAATTAGACAAATGTATCAAACGGTGACTAATGAATTACATGAATTGTTCTAACGGTGTCTAATGAATTAGACAAATTTATCAAACGGTGTCTAATGAATTACACGAATTGTTCTAACGGTGTCTAATGAATTAGACAAATTTATCAAACGGTGTCTAATGAATTACACGAATTGTTCTAACGGTGTCTAATGAATTAGACAAATTTATCAAACGGTGTCTAATGAATTACACGAATTGTTCTAACGGTGTCTAATGAATTAGACAAATTTATCAAACGGTGTCTAATGAATTACACGAATTGTTTTAACGGTGTCTAATGAATTAGAAAAATTTATCAAACGGTGTCTAATGAATTACACGAATTGTTCTAACGGTGTCTAATGAATTACACAAATTTATCAAACGGTGTCTAATGAATTACACGAATTGTTCTAACGGTGTCTAATGAATTAGACAAATTTATCAAACGGTGTCTAATGAATTACACGAATTGTTCTAACGGTGTCTAATGAATTAGACAAATTTATCAAACGGTGTCTAATGAATTAGACAAATTTATCAAACGGTGTCTAATGAATTACACGAATTGTTCTAACGGTGTCTAAGGAATTAGACAAATTTATCAAACGGTGTCTAATGAATTACACGAATTGTTCTAACGGTGTTTAATGAATTAGACAAATTTATCAAACGGCGTCTAATGAATTACACGAATTGTTGTAAAGGTGTCTAATGAATTAGACAAATTTATCAAACGGCGTCTAATGAATTAGACAAATTGCTCTAACGGCGTCTAATGAATTAGAAGAATTTATCAAACGGTGTCTAATGAATTACACGAATTGTTCAAACAGCGTCTAATGAATTAGACGAATTTATCAAACGGTGTCTAATGAATTACACGAATTGTTCAAACAGCGTCTAATGAATTAGACGAATTTATCAAACGGTGTCTAATGAATTACACGAATTGTTCAAACGGTGTCTAATGAATTACACGAATTGTTCAAACAGCGTCTAATGAATTAGACGAATTTATCAAACGGTGTCTAATGAATTACACGAATTGTTCAAACGGCGTCTAATGAATTAGACGAATTTATCAAACGGTGTCTAATGAATTACACGAATTGTTCAAACGGTGTCTAATGAATTAGACGAATAGCTCTAACGGCGTCATATCGAATTCGACGAATGTTCAAACGGCGTCTAATGAATTTGTCGAGTTGCTCTAACGTTGTCTTATATAAAGGACTAGTGGTTGATCATGTATGAGAGTGATTTTTCTATTGATGTCTATAATGGATACGCTTAGGTTTGTTATTGGTGTCTAGAGATAAGAAACCAGTGGAGTTTATGTCAGATTCTTAATACCAGGAGTCTCTGTGCTCCATCGCCCCTTATTGGGCCCCTCCATCGCCCCTTATTGGGCCCCTCCATCGCCCCTTATTGGGCCCCTCCATCGCCCCTTATTGGGCCCCTCCATCGCCCCTTATTGGCCCCCTCCATCGCCCCTTATTGGGCCCCTCCATCGCCCCCTATTGGGCCCNCTCCATCGCCCCTTATTGGGCCCCTCCATCGCCCCTTATTGGGCCCCTCCATCGCCCCTTATTGGGCCCCTCCATCGCCCCTTATTGGGCCCCTCCATCGCCCCTTATTGGGCCCCTCCATCGCCCCTTATTGGGCCCGCGGATGGTGTCAGGTAGTTCTTGGACAGCCTTAACCCGCCCCCCCCTGTAATTATATAACATGGTTGTTGTCAAATTTCACTTTCGGAGGAGTCCCTTGACCTTTCATAGGACTGGCAACGGATGTCCTTGGAAAAAAAAAAACAACAGGTTTTAAAATGAACGCATATTCTCCTACTGCTGAAAACCTTACCGCCATATATCTCCACCTCGCACAGCTGAAGAATCGGCTTCCCATGGTAGATCGGTGCTTTCGTCTGCGTGATCGACACGTGCGTGACGGGTCTTCTGTACGGGTAGTTGACCAAAGTCTCCATCGTGCTGTTGATCTTATCGGGATCGACGTATTTGAACAAGCGCTGGTTCCACTCACCAAAGCTTTCCAGGACGAAGCCGCTGAGACCGATCCCTGTGATGAAAAGGTAAATGCAAAGAGCCACCTTTGAAGAAGGTAGTTAGCATATTTTATAAGCGTTGGGATGCTATAAAGCAGTGGTTTTCAATCTCCCTAATGCCATGACCATTAAATACAGTTCTCATAATGTGGTGACCCCAACCATAAATGTACTGTCGTTGCTACGTCATAACTATGTGTATTTTGATGGTCTTAGGCGACCCCTGTTTATGGGTCGTTCGACCCCCAAATGGGTCGCGAACCCCCAGTCTGAGAACCGCTGATATAAAGCTGTTAAGTTAAAATAATGAGACATAAATTATTTGTGTAAATAAGATACTCAATGTTAAGCTTTGGATTTGGTTTCCCAAATTACAAGTTTAAACGTTTGGCTAATGTCTTCACCTGTACAACATTATATAAATATATATATATATATATATATATATATATATATACACCTATATCAGAAAAGAAAATAATAAGAATGTCTACAAGAAGCTAACAAAAATATTGCTCGGGGGAGCGGAAAGAAAGAGGGTGGAATTATACTTTAATAAGTTAATGTTGACAATTTTCAAAGGACCAAACTTTTAAAAAAAATAATAGTCAACTGTAATTTTGGATGCCCCATTAATAGGGGTTCCCCTGGGCCGTCACACACTGGTTGCGTGGTACTTGTTAGAAGTAAGTTATTTGTCGTTTTCAAATAGCACAGTGATCATACAGCAACCGCGGCACGGCATCCGTCATCGGACATCAGCCTGCGACGGCAGCCGATGCCGCTTCACAGCTAACATCCTTTCACACAATGCCATTTCACAGCACATGTCATTTCACGGCAATTTTCATTGGACAGCTGATGTCATTTCGCAGATGACGGCGAAGCTGGAAAAAGAGGTCGTTGTTGCGTATCGCAGCACCTTCAAATTATGTGACGTAAGAGCTGGCACCATTTACGTTTCGGCTTCTGGTCAATTGCCAATTCATTTATGATGATGGGAGTTTCGGGAGGGGGAGGAGTGGGGTTTCGGGTAGCCCCCTTTTTTCTTGTATCTAATCAACGCTCTATACTTCTTAGATGCACTGTGAGCTTCAGAATTTACCAATCTATGCTGTACACCATTTACAATCTCTTTTTTAAAAATGAAAACTTTACACATCATATTTTTTTTTTAAAATTGGGTAAACCCTGTTCCATTAAGTTGATTAAAAAAAAAAATATATATAATTTCCACCTTGTCGCCGCCTACATACCTGTTGGCCCGCCCGCGCTGTACAGAACATATCTTGTGATGAAATAACTTCTGTCGAACGAGACGTTCCATACCGGGACCCGCTCGTCGTTCGTCTGAGTGCACGAGTTGTGCCGCACGTCCGAGTGAGTGGCTCCGTCGACGGCGTTCCCTGCTATGAAGCTGTAGCCCGGCATCGTGAAGGTCGACGTCTGCGATGTGTTCTGCTTCAGTGCAATGTTTCGACCTGGTGCAAAGGGAAGGATGGCGCCAAAGATAAAGATGTTAAAATTGTTGTAAGGTGTCCTGAGAAGAAATTAGGATTTAATGGGGGGTCTAGAGATGTCATAATAAATAAGGGGGCGAAAGTGGACGTGTCCCGACAAAGAACAAGTCTCTAGCGTGAACATGTCCAGAAAAGTGAACATGTCCTGAGAGGGAACATGTCCTGAAAAGTGAACTTGTCCTGAAAGTGTACACATCCTGAAAGTGAACACACCCTGAAAATGCATATGTCTTGAAACATGGCTTGAAAGTGAACATGTCTTGAAAATGAACACGTCTTGAAAATGAACATGTCCTGAAAGTGAACATATCTTAAAAATGAACATATCTTGAAAGTGAACATATCCTCAACGTGAACATATCTTGAAAGTGAACATATCTTGAAAGAGAACATATCCTGAAATTGAACATAACTTGAAAGTGAACATATCCTGAAAGTGAACATATTCTGGACATTTAGGATGTCACTAGAAACAATGAGGTACTACATTATGAGGATCTATTTGCAAACTAGGATATCCCAAAAAGTATAAATATCCTGAACTGTGGAGATTCACTGAAACTTCGTGACGTTGATAAAAATAGAAAGAATGTTCTGTGATTATGTGACCTGTCGAATCCTCGTTCGCCCCCATCTGAACAGCTATCGTCTCACAATGGTACGTTGGATCTTAGTAAAGTATCTAACCTCCATTGACGTGGAGAGAGGAACAGCTATCATCTCACAATGGTACGTTGGATATTAGTAAAGCTTCTAACCTCCATTGACGTGGACAGAGCACACGACGGGCACGTCCCTGCCGGTGAGCGTCAGCTCCACTATCGCCTCGCTGACGTCACACTGGATCTCAAACGTGTTGTCTCGAATCTTGAGGTCCTTCCTCCTGTGGCAGGGGATACCATCCATTAAGGAGGATCCTCTGAAAGTGAGAGTGGTGTAGCTTTCTTCATCTAGGGAGGAGAATTTTTACGAGGCGGATACAGTGGCGTGGCTGGGGTTGGCTCATCCCAGGGGCGGGTACAGCTTTTTGCCGTACCTCTTTCACGAAAAAAAAAAAGCAACTCTGCAGTTAACTAAAAAAATTAAAAAATCCGCCCATGGGAGACACCCCAACCCCCCGCCCCCCCCCCAAAAAAAATAAAAAAAATCGAAAAAAAAAAAAAGCAACTCTGCAGTTAACCAAAAAAATTAAAAAATCCGCCCATGGGAGACACCCCAACCCCCCGCCCCCCCCCCAAAAAAAATAAAAAAAATCGACAATCCCTTTTCTATGCCACTGTTGGGATAGCGCTACGATTTCCCTTTGAGATGTAATAAAATCAAGATTGACATTTAACGTCCAGGGCAGCGGCTGATCACCTGCGGCTCCTTGCATGAACAGAATGAATGCGGCTCAATTGATGTTTAACCCGTACGCTTTTTGGAGAATTAAAAGAAATAATACATAATTTCATTATAATATTATTGGATTTCATGCAGTTTCTGATTTTCAAGTATCGGAAGTAAAATTATCTTTCTTAATTTTTGGCAGAAACATTTGATAAAACAACTCTTCACAAAACAGAATATTTAAAAAAAAAATAAGTTGTCTAATCCTGGCTTGATTTGGGGGTTGAGGTTTGGCGATTAACTATTAAAGTAGTTAATTTATTTGGTAGATTTATGAGATACAGTACCAATAAAAATATAATCAGTATGGCTCTAGTATTAAACACATGAGTTAAATTATTTAATCATTGTATGTCTCTATCTACATGGAAAAAATGGCCATTTATGCATCCATTAACGTTGTCCATCATTTTTACATTTAGGCACATTTAGAGTATCGCTAGTGAAAAAAATCACAGTGGTCGGCAAACTCATTAGTCAAAAGAGCCAAAAATCAGCAGAAGGAGGATTTAAAAAAAAAAAAAATTAGTAGCCATATTCATTTTCATGAACCTTTCAAAAACCATGTTTTTCGTAGTCAAAAACCGATTTGTGACCGACTGGCCGAGTCGCACTCAGGTCGCGAGAGAGCCGCGATTTGCCGACCACTGGCTTCACCCGTCAGCCTCGATGTGACAGATCGTCAGGTTACCCGTACATAAGAGCTGTTGTGTGTGCCTGGCAACCCACTACGACTGAAAAAAAGAGAAGAACACACACACAGAAAAAGGGGGACGGCGTGCGACATGAGGACTTTAAGAGGCCCAAAACTTATGATGTGAAAAAAGTTCAAATGTCAAATTTGTTAAGGGACATTTTTTTTTTAAACAGGCAGTGGGGCTCACAAAGGCGCGCGACAGCTCTGGACCTGTAGGTGGATGTGTAAACAAAGAACTGTGGGAGAGGGTAGATGAAGGAGTAGGTAGTGAAAAGAATGGTCCTGAAAAAACGGTCATGTTCAGATGAAAGAGCATTTTAAATTTTTCTACATGTACTAATATTTCTTTCTTTTTAAAAATAATGTAAAAAATATTTTGAAGGAAAAACTTTCCATGTATCAGTTGTTGATGAATGAAATACATAGTGTTACACATTGAAATATAAATATTTTTTTAAAGTAAATTTATAATATCCTTGAGAACCGATAATGTAAAGACCACGCGTTAGGTCTCTTGTAAGCAGCAAATCAATACCTACCCAGAGGCGTAGCGAGGGTGTTTGGTGCCCGGGGACAAGATTCGCGTCCAGGGATAAGATTCATTTTAAAGCGCCCCCTTTTCTTTTTTTCAACTCTCAAACCCGTTATTTTTATCAGTAAAATAATATCAAAGCACATTTTGGCGACCCTAACTAGCTGGCGCCAGGGGACATCTGTCCCTCCTGCCCCCCTCCTTCGCTACGCCTCTGTACCTATCCACGGGAAAAGACCCACTCACCCTACCAACCCCAAAGGACCCCCCCCCCACCACTCACCCTACCACCGCCGCCAAACCAAATATACATCTAAAATCCTCACCATTCTCACTGACTGTCAGGCGTAACCATGTAAAGACAAACTCCGTTGTCCATGACATGGTTATAGACTCCAGGTGCGGTGCCATGTTGCACGTCGTATCATCGCTGTCCGTCAACCATGATGTATCGTCCAGGACAGGATTGGTGACGATGAAAGGCTGGTCGATGGTGACCAAATCTTCTGAGTGTTGAAACAATTGGGGTTTCGGTAAGGAAGGGGCGTTTGTTTTAATGATATTGTGATGAGGTATTGAAGATACATTGTTCATAAAAATTGACGTGTATTTTTGAACTTTTCTTCTTCCCCCCGCCCCCCCCCCCAACTGATAAAGATGGTTAACGAACCAGGCAGTCTATGGCACTGTGCAAGCTTACGTTAATCATTATGCTCTATAACCATTGGCGTAATATTCTAATAGGCCACCATAAGTTAAAGACATTTTGGTAAGCTATAATCTTTTGGAATAGCATCATAAGCTACACCCTTTTGGAATAGCATCATAAGCTATACAATTTCGGTATTTCACCATAAGCTTCAATCTTAAGGTATGCCATCCTAAGTATATCACCGATCACTTCATGAAAAGCCATACGCCAAATTATAAATAGTTGATATTCTAAAATGCATTCGGTTGCTGTGATAAAAGCACGTTCGTAGTCCTGGTCTTTCATCGTGGTATCCTTACTCTCTAAATAAGGGTTTCTGACACTTTTGTTTGTTTGTTCCATGGGGTCCCTGACAGTCAGATCAAGGCCGCAGCCTATTTTTTCTCGGTAGTACCTTTGTTTTTTTAATTCGAAAAAAAAAATGAAAGTACAACCTAAATGCAGCTCACTGACCCCTATGACCAGTGGGGGGGGGGGGGGGGTAGGGGGGCGGGACCCACCCTAGCCATTGGGACTGCCCCCGGCAAACTTAAAAAAATTTAAAACTTGCAACATAGCTGAAGATGATCTGGAAACCTTCCTGCTGGCTGCCTCAAAATAATAACTAATAAAAAGTGTGTGAGTGTATAAAAAATGTGCATACTCTCTCCTGTTTACTTTCGATACGGTCATCGATGTCCATAATATTGCTTGTTTATTACATACAATACAGTCATCCCTGTCCATAATATTGCTTGTTTACTTACAATACAGTCATCCTTATCCATAATATTGCTTGTTTACTTACAGTACAGTCATCCATGTCCATAATATTGCTTGTTTACTTTCGATACAGTCATCCACGTCCATAATATTGCTTGTTTACTTTCGATAGAGTCGTTGTCTTTTACGATACTGGCATCCAGTCTGTTAAATACTCTATTACTCCAATCGAGAATCTTCGAGTATTTTCTGAGAATGTTTGTCGATGGTGCTCTAAAACACTGTCTATCAACGACTTCCACGCACACCGAATACTGTAACACACACACTTTATGGAGACTAGGGTTCTTCTTTATGACGTGTGTCTGTCCTGCAGATTCACCTGGTTACAGTATCTCCTTACAACTACACAGTCTGTCCAAAAACACAGGAGCTGTCTCGAAGGTCTCATGATTATGTCTCTCACCCTCTCTCTCTCTCTCTCGACCACTCTCACTATCTCGCGCCTTATATCCATGCACTTGTTTATTATTCTATTCCTGTCACCCGGTGATCATTCAGACACAATCACAACACTCATGACACAACTCGCGGACCCAAACAGCATTCATACTAAAAACAGTGATTCTCATACCCTTTACACAGTCCATAATATTCGGGGTTTTTTAAATTTTATTTACGATACAGACATCCATTTATTTAATCTCCCTTATTTGCTTACGATACTGACATCCGTGTCCATTATCTCCCTACTGTACTTATCATACTGACATCCGTGTCCATTATCTCCCTACTGTACTTATCATACTGACATCCGTGTCCATTATCTCCCTACTGTACTTATCATACTGACATCCGTGTCCATTATCTCCCTACTGTACTTACGATACCAACATCCATGTCCACAATCTCCCTTGGTTTACTTACGGT